GGATGGATGGATGGATGGATAGATAGATAGATAGATAGATAGATAGATAGATAGATAGATAGATAGATAGATAGATAGATAGATAGATAGATCACAAATACTTAATTGTAGGTGCCCACATGGAGATAACAAGTCAAGGAGACACAAATTATGCTGTAAGTACTGCGTAATTTCTTGATAATTTGGCATAAAAACAAACAGTATTTCTTACATTATAAGAACACTGGACTTTTCAAGGTGCAGGTCATGCTGTGGATTGACATAAACTTGCCTAACTTCCAGCTATTTTAGAGGAAAGGAGACGCTCTTATCCTACCTACCTAAAGTATTTGTAGCTAAATATAATTACAATGTAATTTCAAATAACATACGAAGAAACCGCATTTAATTACAGGGGAATTACACCTTTATAAACTGGTCGTATTATAAAGTATTACAACTGCTGTGCAGAACATAAATACACATGTAAGAATTTTCGCTTTTTTAAATTTTATTTAAAAAAAAATTCATTTATTATTATTTATTTATTTTATTTTTTGGGGGGGGGGGGACTTCTCCTGGATACGATCTTTAATCAGAAACACTGAATCGGTTTCAGCCTATTTTTGAAGGGTTATATAACATATAGAGAAACATATGTCTGCATCTCTGTGTGAATATAAAACTGTGTACAGTACTAGCAGGCTGTTTCGTGCAGCCCTCCAGAACAGCGGGTGGCACTAATGTTTCATTTTAGTGTCTTTGTGTAACTGAAACACAGAGAGAAAAGAAAAGAAAAAAAAGTAGGAGGGCTGCACAAGTTTGAGATCTGAGCACAGAGAAAAGTTACAGCAGGTAAGTAACTTACCAGCGCTTTAGTTCTTTTCCTCTTTGCAGTTGTGTAAGTCAACGCTGGGGTTTTGCTGCCTTTTACTGGAGAGTTGCGCTGCATGCACTCCGTTATACCTACTGCAGGCATCCAAACGTTTAACTGGGAAATGTTTGTATAATAATAACACGGCACAGCATGTCTTGAGAAAGATAATAATAAAGTTCCCACTATAAACCCCTGTTTGCTTTCAAAAACGAATATAAGCAAAACTGTTGCTCATAAATCATTTTTACGATGACCTCAGATCAGCCTGCAAAACATTCGCCTTGGTGCCTGTTTTGTCAAATTTAATGCGAATCCATGTTCAATGTTTACTGTTTACTGCATCTACCCTCACATTTCTTAATGTTAACGAATGTTTTGATCTAAAGTATGAATAAACACATAATTTACAGGAGTTAGATGCTCAACAGCTTCCACACTGATCATAGAAGATACAGCAAAGTCTTGAACGCCTCCTCATTCTTCATATTATGCTTCCAAAGACTTATTCTTGTACTTTTTAGAAGTTGAGCAATAGTTCTTTCGGGTCTTTCAGAGCTTTTCTTTTGGACATTGGTTGCTTTTTTATGTACTCGTTTTTATGAGGAATGTTTTTGTTTGTCAAGCCACTTAACGTGAATCACTCAAGCATAAAAAGGACACTACTACTACTACTGTACTAGTACTTACTGGTTACTACTGGTTCATCTTTTGATGAACCAGTAGTAACAAAGAGCCGACTTTAAATAGTATCTTTATCCACTTTGTTACTGACAGACTGTCACAAAAAAACCACAATTTGTCCCCGTTTGTTTAGCTGAATCTACAAAAATGCCAAAGATAACACAGTTTAATAGCTGTAAAATAGAATAGTATTTTTACAGAGCTACTAGCCAAAAGCTTGGCATAGCTCTAAAAACTGGACAAGTGGACAGACTTTTAGGTCTGTCACATCATCTATTTACAGCAGAGGAATGATATCTGGAAGTCATGTCTTAAGTAATATGGAAAAAATCCAACATGACCTGACACATTACCTGAGTGCTGGATCTGGCCTTTTAGCTGATCCATTTACTGTTCATTGAACCAGAGCCCCAGGCTCCAGGCCCCGACAAGCAGCCACCAGGAGTGAGCCGGTGCGTACTGGGACGCTCATCCCCGGACACAAAGAACGAAAGAAGAGCTTCAAAAAGCCTGGAGAACTATTCCTGAAGTCTACCTAAAGAAATGACAAGAAAGGTTGTTTAAGAGAATTCAGGATGTGTTGAAGAATAAAGACGGTCATACCAAATATTAACTTTCAAGCTCATTTTCAAGCTGGTATCAACTGACAAAGGTCCTACTTTTTTAGCTGATCTTGTGGCCTCAATGTTACAGATGAATTATCACTCAGCAAATTTGGCTTCAAGCAGAATTTAGCATTCATAAACTAAACACGCGACACAGACACAGAGCTATAAATCGTTTTAAATGTATTTGTTACCCATGCTCCATATGTATGTTTTGATTTGAGGGATAATTTTCAAACAAAGCTTGCTGGCAGACTCAAAAGTTTTCCCATGCAAGTGTTTACATTTAAAAAAAGGTGTATTAAAAATATAAATGAGTTTATAACCCAAGGGATTGTTTTGATTTCTGAGATCAGCGCTGAGATGGAAATGCAGCTTCCACCTCACGAGGGAGGCGAGCTGTCTGTGGTCGACATGCACACGGGTGGAGAGCCTTTGCGGATCATCCTCAGTGGCTACCCAGAGGTCAAAGGCGACAGCGTGCTTTCCAAACGTCGCTACATCCGGGAACATCTGGACCACCTCAGGAGGGTGCTGATGTATGAACCGCGAGGACACTACGACATGTACGGGGCCCTGATCGTGGACAGCGAGTTACCCGAGGCCGACCTGGCGGTGCTGTTCATGCACAACGAGGGCTACAGCACCATGTGCGGCCACGCCGTCATCGCACTGGGACGCTTCGCTGTGGACTACAAACTAGTGAAAGAGCCGAAGTCGCCAGAGACACAAGTGAACATCCACTGTCCCTGTGGCCTGGTGAAGGCCTTTGTTGAGTACTCTGAGGGGAAAACAGGAGGAGTGAGGTTTCACAGCGTGCCAGCGTTTGCATTTGCTACAGGTAGCACAAACGACTGTAATAGTTCTCAGGTATTTGAATGTTCTCCAGGACTAATTCAATATTTTTTTACCAGATGTGACAGTGTCGGTGGAGGGGTTTGGTGAAGTAACGGTTGACATCAGCTACGGAGGAGCCTTTTATGCCTTTGTGAATGCCCAGAGGTTTGGTCTGGATGTGTCCAAGTCCAGGACTCGGGATCTTGTCGACGCAGCCACAGCTGTGACCAGAGCTGTCAAATCTCAGGTGATCAGCTGACAGGAAATTCAAAAAAAAAAAGAGCATTATTACACAGACAGTGAGAATATCACTTGCTAAATTTCTAGTAATCTAAAAGTCTAAATAATCCATACTTTAATTTAAAAAGGGGAAAAAGTAGGCCTGATCTTATATAGAGCTGCTTTGAATTGGCAGCTTCTTTTTTTATTCATTACATCTGCTTTTAGGGTGTTGTCAAATTATGGCTCAAATGTATGCACAGGATATTTTTAGAGGGCACAAGAAACATCTGGTAGTACTTATATGGGATGCAGTGCATGCCTGTAGAGTTTATAGCAAAAAATCTGAGCATTACATGACCTCTCAGCTTGATGTCACCCAAAAGTATCTGGACACGATGCTCCCAACCATATTCCACAGTGTGAACTGATTTCTTTTTCTACCTTATTCTTATTATCCTTTAGGTGAAGTTGCATCATCCAGCCAGCGATGATCTGGCCTTCCTGTATGGCACCATACTAACAGACGGGAAAGACGATTACTCCCCTGAACCCACCGCCAATATCTGTGTGTTTGCTGAAGCTCAGGTATGTTAGTTCCTGCTGGTGGAAGGATAAACTGTTGTCATGAAGCCTGAGTGTAGGTGTGGGTAATGCTATAGTGAGAGGCGTCTACTACGTTTTATTGATTACAATAAAAATAAAAAAATAAAAAAATAAACAAGAAAGACTTCAAACTACTGATTGAAATCCTAAGCTTTTTAGAAATATGTTTAAAGAGATCATAAGAGAAAGCAGCAGAGTTTGATGGAAAATGAGGAATGTCCCCCTGCTGGTCATTAAAAATAATGCAGATAAGGCACTTCTTAGCACCTTTTTTTGTTTGTTTTGTTTAGGCCCTGAATCCACATCCAACTTTAAATACAGTCTTTAGTCCTGAAGTAGCTCTAAGTGTACACTTAAGCACATTTGTCTTAGAAGGGCTGCAGATTCCAGGAAGTGCTACAGCTGGTCAATTTAACAAGTCACATTACAATTTGGAACAGCTGTATTAGCTGAAGCTACACCCATTAATGCCAAGGAAGAGCAGCTGTGACTGTGCTCACAGCCAGCAGTTTGACAGTGCCGGAGATCGGCCTTTTACAATGAGTAATGAGCATTATGTAAAGTGGTCACATAGTCTTTTATTTGTGCAGTCTGCGGAGTTTATCAGAAATGAAATGGACAAACACAGCAACTGTTCAGATGAAATATGAAAGAAAAACAAGACATATTGCAAGAAAACACGTTTAGGGACATTTATTATTTGTTGTCACTTCTTAAGTCTTTGTCCTTACTTCCATTATTTGAATCCTCTTTAAGTGCTCAAGTGTTGGAATCATACAAAAGACAATAAAAGGTCTGCGTTTTGTTCATTGGTGTCACCTTAACTTCATGTAATAGGAGGTTTAAATTGTGCTTCTCAGGTAGACCGAAGCCCGACTGGTTCTGGTGTCACGGCTCGAGTAGCTCTTCAG